GGGAAAGATTAATTGGAGTACTACTAAAGAGAATTCTTCGAAAGGTACTAGGAAAATCTTCTCTGAACTACGAAGAATTGTTGACAATCATTTGTGACTGCGAGAGCATTATGAACAACCGTCCTCTCACGTATTTGTCAGAAGACGTAAAGGATTTAAGAGCTCTCACCCCAGCAATGTTTCTAACAGAAATTCCAGAGACTGGAGTTCCTGAATTAGATCTTTTGGATTCTAAATCCATCAATAAAAGATACCTTTACAGAGCCAAATTGAGAAAAGATTTACGAAAAAGATTTCGATCAGAATATTTAGGGCAACTAAAACAAAGCTCAAAATTCATCCGCGAACCATCTTCTGTGAAAGTTGGTGATCTTGTAATTGTGTCCAACAACGAAAAAAGGATAAACTGGCCCTTAGCTAGAATCGTGGAAATATTTCCATCCCACGACGGACACATTAGATTAGTGAAACTGAAAACTGCACAAGGGGAGATTATAAGACCTACTAAGAACCTCATACCTCTTGAACTCAACTTTACACCTGAGTCGGATATGCTAGTGAGGTACAGAACTCGACGTATGACGAAAACTCAAAAGACTTGAACTACAGGTCAGTTGAGGTCCATCCTCTGCTGATACTGGACCTCAAGGTGGGAGTGTCGCGTTTGCTTACTAGAAACTTTACTTCCACGAACGCCCTCTGGCGAAAAGAGACTAAAACAGTCAGTTGAACGGCTGACGCGTCTAACAGATGTATAACGATAGACCGTCTCCGTATAAATTATGCTTGTAATCATTATAACTTGTAAATATTTTGTAGATATCTTTCATACGAATTAAAATTTCTTAAAAAGTTTATAGCTGTGTTTCGAAGTGAATCGAAGTTCATCATAGAGACGGATACCTACAAGAAGGAAAAGCAGGCAGTTCAGGGCAGCCCTATTTAGAAGGTAAGTGAACTTTCACTTATCTATTTAATGATCAAAAAATTTTAATAGTACAAAGGTGATAAAATTTTTTAACACTGTCATTAAGTTGATGCTTAAAACAGAGCAACATAAGACACCTTAAACAGATTATTACCTTATTATTTCTATTCTAAAGAAAAACTCAGAACAAAATAAAAACGGAAGCGACCTATTTACTCTCATTTTCTACCTCTAACTTCGTGCTTTTTTCTTCAAAAAACCCGCAGCAAAAAACAAGACACTCATTGTGAAGTGTTTTTCTTAATTTGCATAAGAAATTGCTTTAATTTCGTATCTTTGCTGAACCTCTCATTTTCCCGTCGCATTTCCTCGCCAGGATGCAAATTTAAAGTAAAGTGAAGAGAGTATAAAAACAGACGAAACTAGTAATTTATTCGGAGCGTGATTTCGCTAGCCAGCGCACATTACTATTCTGTCCTCGCTGTAGTTACGCTGAGTTGCTGATAGGCCTTTTTGGCCATTTAATAGGTATATCGTACGGTAGCTTGTGCAGTCAGCGTAGTTAGCTTTAAACTAAATTGTTAGTCTAGCACTACTATTTATGTTTGAATTTATTGTTAAATTATTTCAAGGTCCACCGCAAGTCGTCGGTGTTACTGTTAGCATGAAGTATGTGCATTTGTGTAGAGAATTTGAAGAATAATAAAGAGTTTGTTTTACCCTTCTTCTGTGCTGGTATTATTCACGCCTGTGCGAGAATTCACCAAGTTTCCTATTAGGATCATTTGAATTTTATGATAGCGAAGAGAACAAAATCTTGCAAATACTATTTTACTTTTCTATGAATAAAATCCGGTTAGACCATTTTACATTGAACTCTTACTCCCCCCCCCTTTCGTTCACTTTACAGTTGAATATTAATCAGTAAATTTTGATAAAACATTTAAAACAATAATCTTTGAATAACGTAAAGGTTAGATGCGTGAAACTAGTAGGCAAAGGAATATAACTATTAAATACAATCAAAAATTTCGTTTTACATTCTGTTTTAATTTCGGAAGATCTGAATAAAATCACACACACAAAATTTCTTAACAGTCGTATTTATTAGTTTAAAAAAATCTGCTGTGAACCCCACATGACTTCCTTGTACGTAATATTAAACTATACGCAATTTTTTCCTGCATTTCATTTAAACTTATTCACTCGAATTTCATTACACATATATTTCTCATTCAATTAATTCCTTTCTCACTTCGCGACAAGGTAAAAATACATAAAAATCTCAAAATATTTTTATTAAAAATTGAAAAATATAAAACATAAATACAGTTAAAACACTTTAAAGAACAATTTTACTATTAAAATTGGAGTTTCTACGCAAAAACAAGCAATTCGGCCAGCGCGCAAGAACACAGATTTTTCGGTGTACCAAACGGAAAATTTAATTTTGGTTTCATTCGGCAAAAAGACATTGAAGGCGTAGAAACTAACTTAATTTATAGTGGACGCTATGCTAAGTCAATATATGGGATAATTTCATGCCTTAAACGGTAATTCCAGAATGGATTAAGCATGATTTAATTCCCAATAATAAAAGAAAATGTTATCTTTGTTGTTGCGAAGCTTAGTTTGTCTAGATTGGCAACAAATCCACTAACCTGCTAAGTTTTAAATGTAAACAAATATGGCTGCTATGGTAAACAAAAGTTAGGCCTAGTCTCATTTAAACAATTTTTAATTTGTTGATAATTCTACATTTATTGCATGTAGGTTAACTAAAGGCATAAAAACCTTAACCGGAAGTAAGACCAATGTAATTCAATTATTTTTAAAGCAAAAAGTGGGCGATTTACTAACATATAAGAATAAAAAAAACTTGAGCTCACTGATCCGAGTAACAGAGTGGATATATATAAATATGTAAGAAAAATAAAGAATATATAAAAGATGAAATTAGCAACGTAAATTTCCTTTCTCTATTTTAAAAATAGTAACCTCTCTCTGCACTGCGTCATTTCGAGACTATTCTATGTCATATGATTCTTACGTAATTGCGATGATGTAAACGGAACTAAAACTCAACCAGCCAATAGTAATTTTAAAGCAATATTAACTGTTCAATCAAAATGCTTTGAAAAACAAAACTAACTCAGTCTGACTTGAGATTTCATCCTGAACATAACGCGCTTTCTTTCGACGCTTTGCCTTAGCTAGACTGCTGTCTGTCTGCTGCTGCTTTCTTGCTACAGAGTTATGAAAAATGTAAGCCTTTTGGAACAGGCACATTTAATGTGTCGACTTGTGTGTAGCCGCAATATGTTGCTGAAAATAAAACTGAAGATTTAATCTGCCTTCGCCTCCAATTTCTTAGTCATTATGGATCAACGCTTCTACGTTATCGAAATTCCTGCTCCTCAATATATTACTCGGCTCCATATTTGGCTACTCGTGCTTTATACCAACTTGCCTACGATGAGCAGAATAACTATCCTTTAGCTTCGAAGGCTGTACTTCAAAACTTTTTTGTAGATGATTGTTTGGTAGGTGCTCAAAACACTGAAGAGTGCAAAAATCTAGTAAATCAACTCTTGCAAATGTTAGAACGTGGAGGATTTCTTCTGCATAAATGGTCATCCAATGACTTGTCAGTGTTAGAGAATATACCCCAGGAATGATTCTGAGGCTATGAAAATTCAAGACGATAGCTCAATCAAAGTTTTAGGAATTAATTGGAACTCCCGTGAAGACTACTTTAACTTTTCCGTATCCATTTCTGGTGAAAAGTTTAAATACTCTAAAAGAGATATCCTTTCTGATTTAGCAAAAATATTTGACCCATTGGGTTAGCTTGCTCCTTGTATTATTTATGTCAAAATCTTGATACAAGACATGTGGAAACTCCGTTTATCGTGGGATGAACCTGTTAGTGATGAGATTGTTAACAAATGGAAGACTTTTCGAAATGATTTACATCTTATTCAACAATTAAAAATACCGAGATTTGTTTTGATTCCTGACGTGAACTATATTGATATCTATGCTTTTTGTGATGCCTCCGAGAAAGGCTACTGTGCAGCAATTTATTTGCGTTCAGTGTCACGTAATTTGGACATCAAAGTAACACTCTTAACATCAAAAACAAGAGTCCTCCTCTGAAAGTGCAATCATTACCTCGATTAGAGTTATGCGCCGCAGTTTTGTTAGTGAATTTGCTTAAATCAGTGTTAGAACATTTAGAGTTTCCTATACGTAAAGTTTTGGCCTGGACAGATTCAACTGTTGTACTGTCCTGGATTTCTGCAGAACCATACCGTTGGGTTCCCTTTGTTGCAAACCGCGTTGCTAAAATACAGAATACAATTCCTAATGTAAGGTGGAACCATATCAATGGAAAGCGGAACCCAGCTGATTCAGGTACAAGAGGAATGTTTCCAGCAGAATTTCTGAAGTGTGAGCGATGGTTCATTGGACCTACTTGGTTATATTCACAAGATTTCGAACCATGTCCTGACAGTGAACATCTTGCTGATGTAGATTATGAAGGAGTTCGTAGAGAAGAATGAAAAACTTGCATTTCAGTATCTTGTGCGGTAAAGGAAAATGACATTTTTAAACGGTATTCATCTTGGACAAAATTACGTCGTATAGGTTTTCTGACAACCGATGAGCTTCGATTAGCTACAAAAACAGTGATAAAAAATGTCCAAGAATCATATTTTCCTCAAGAGCTCTCTTATTTAAAAACATCGAGAGAATTAAAAGGTGTGAGCAGCCGAGTAATACAATTAACTCCCTTCCTTGATGAAGAAGGCGTCATTCGAGTAGGTGGTCGCTTAAAAAATGCAAACATTTCTGAAAATAGCAAACATCCTATTTTGCTTCCAAAGGAAGGACATCTAATCTCATCGTAACTCATTACCATGTCAATTATTTGCACGCTAGTCAAGAGTTATTAATAAGCACTTTACGAATGCAGTTTTGGATTCTTGCGGTGAGAAGCGTAGTGAGAAAGATTATTCACAGATGTATTCCTTGTATTAGAAATCGAGGCAAGACTGTGACCCAGATAATGGGTGATTTACCCTCGCCCAGAGTTCAACCATCAAGACCTTTTGCAGTCACCGGTGTTGATTATGCTGGTCCATATTCTATTAAGTCCCAAGTTGGGAGAAGAACAAAAACTTTCAAGTGTTATGTATCCATTTTTGTGTGTTTCTCAACAAAAGCTGTACACTTGGAGTTAGTCAGTGATCTATCAACTTCAACGTTTTTAGCAGCTCTAAAAAGATTTATCGCCCGACGAGGCAAACCATCTAAAATTTCGAGTGACTGTGCTACTAACTTCAAAGGTGCTAGTAAGGAACTGAAGATTTATAAAAATGCAGCACGCATTGAGAAAAGCAGTGAATTATGTGACTACATTACCTCAGAAGGTATAACTTGGTTATTTAATCCTCCGACATCTCCTCACTACGGTGGCTTGTGGGAATCTAATGTGAAATCCATGAAATTTCATCTTAAACGAGTATTAGGATCCACACTTCTAACTTACGAGGAATTTTTAACAGTGCTTACACAAGTGGAAGCGTGTATGAATTCCCGTCCTCTTTGTGCGATGTCTAGTGATCCAAACGACTTTAGTGCATTGACTCCAGGTCATTTTCTGATTGGAGCCCCTTTGCTTGCCATTCCGGAATCTGACTTGAGTGATGTGAAATCTTCACGACTTAAACGTTGGTCTCTAGTTCAACAGACTGTGCAACATTTTTGGAAACGATGGTGTGCAGAATATTTAACAACACTTCAACAACGTGCTAAGTGGTTTCGTGCGTCTCCAAATCTAAAATGTGGTGATTTAGTTCTGATCAAAAACGAACAACTGCCTCCAAACCAATGGAAAATTGGAAGAATTGCCTTAATTCATCCAGGTAGTGATAAAAAAGTTCGAGTGGCTACAATCCATACAGCCGCTGGTGATTTCAAACGAGCTGTTACTAAATTGTGTCTTATCCCCAATCATGACTAATATGAACTATGAACTATTGACTTTTTTTCATATTATTGAACTTTAATTTTAGTTATATTTTCAATTAATTATTTTTTGTTAATGTTATTATGTATGCTTTAACTATTTGTCTTTTTTGAACCCTTAGAAGGCTTCAAGGCCGGGGGCTATGTTTAGTATTTTTTGTTACCAAACGAATTACTAGTGTGTCTTTGCAACAATAGATGGCGTTGCTGCCTGATGATTCAATTCTGGTTGCTATGGTAACGAACTTTCAACTCATGAGATTTGTATTCTATTCTATTCTATTATATATTATATATATAATTGCTACAGTGCTAAGAGTGAAGTGTGCTGTGTTGAAGTAGACGGCATTCCTTCTATTTGAAAGTGTTATGTAAAATAAATAAGTGATATTACAGTTCGCTTATTTCTGGTCACGCTTTGTGAACTTATTCTTAACAACTCTTTTAAGATAATCCTACTATAATTAAGGTAGTGATATATATTTATACACATATATATATATAAAAAATCTGTTACTCAGCTCAGTGAACGCAGTTTCTTTATTCCTATATGATTGTAAATTGTGGATTTTTTGCTTTAAAAATGCTTGAATTATGTTGTTCTGGTGAAGATTTTTATGTCTTTATGCCTACAAGCAATACTTGTGGAATTATCAACAATTTAAAAGTTTTTTTTAAGTGCTGCTAAGCCTAATTATTTCTTAACATTACAGTTATGTTTGTTTACATTTGAAACTTAGCAGAATAGTGGATTTGTTATCAATCTACAGAAACTAAGCTTCGCAACAATAAAGTAACGCGTCTAGCCTAAAAATGTTTATTAAGAGAGCATAAAAGTTACAAAAGCTCTAATTAAATCGTAGCTAGGGTCGTAGCTAGGGTTTTCAGCGCCCAAGCACAACTGAATATTTCGCGTCCCCTACTGCTTGCCAAGGATGGAGAACATTTAATTCTAAAATGTCGTAACATCAGTTTGGCGCACCTTGGATTCTGCGCCCGGGGACAGATGCCCCCCTCTAGCTACGCCCCTGATAAAAGCTTATTTGCGAATATTATTGCGAATTAAATTGTTTAATTAATTATGGAATTATCATTTAAGTTATTAGCTTGTTTTTGCGTAGAATCTGTAATTTTAACTGTAAAAATTGTTTTTTTAGTTGTTTTAACTGTATTTGGTGTTTTATGTTTTTTTTATATCTTTCAGTTTTTAATGAAAATATTTTGAATTTTTATGTATTTTTGCCTTGCTGTGAGCTGAATTAATTAGTAGCGCATGCACATTACGTAAGGCGGTGTTGAATCGTCTGCGAAAAATATTGTGCGTGCGTACGGGTTCGTTACGAAATGAATGCACAAGTCCGATGAAAAATGAACAAAAATTTATTATTATCACAACAAAAATGCTTAAATTTTCTCAAATTATCATGCAGTATTACAATATCTCACAGTAGTTATCTTTTAACTACTCAAATATCCAATAGAACGTAATTCAAAACAGTTAAAGAACGCTAATCCGCGAATTCGCTACAATCAACAACAGTAGTTTTCTAAACAACAACAAACTAAGCAACTACTACAAACTGAGATGTTTTCCCTCCTTTTATAAGATTTAAAATCACGCGCTAGAATTTTCCAGTACTTTCTCGAAATCAAAAGAGATATTTATTTATTTAACGCACGCGCTCTTGTATTTTTAATTTTTCCGGCTTAGCTTTCTTTTAATATTCGTCACGCGCTGCACTGCGCGAGAAATAAAACCATTTAATTTATAATTGAACTAACATTAGCTTTTTAAATAGCAAATTCGTAACACTGCCCCCTTCCCAAGGACTGCACGTCCCGGGCAGTACAATCCCTGGACAGGAAGCTAAACTTACAACTGTGGCATAAATGCATTAATAAGCATTACATTACTATAATAAACAACATGAACAATAAATGCAATACATAAAACAAATCAATGCTATCAAATACTAAATACAAACAAATACAAATACAAATAAATCAATACTAAATGCAAATCAAATACTAAATACACATTTATAAACAAAAAGGACCATGGTCTGATACTATTTACAATTATTTACATTACGTACTATGGCCATAGTAATGAGCTAACCTGTCGTAATGAACGACTTTAGGTTTAGAGTTCGAAGACTTACGAATCCGAACCACGACGTCATTCAGCCTTTTTAGGACTGTATATGGACCATCCGAAGGTGACTGTAATTCAGGCCTGACTCCTTTTCGCCGAATCGGGTTCCACAACCACACCTTGTGTCTTTTGTTGAATCTATGTCCAGTAGCTCTCGCGTTGTATCTGGTCTTCACTTTCTCCGTCGCCAAGTTCACTCGCTTTCGTGCGGAACGGTGCATTACTTCAAAACGGGCCTTGACATCTTGGATGTGTTCCTCAGGCGATGAAGGCGCATCCGTACGGCGATGAAACAGGCGGTCACAAGGCAGACGAAGGTCTCGACCGAAGAGCATCTGAGATGGAGAATAGCTGGTAGTCTGGTGTTTCTTTCGACCCTAGCATGATTTCGGCTGTTTCTTTCTCGAGCTGGTTCTTTCGGACAAAGCGTCGGCATTTCCAGGTGAGGATCCCTTCTTAGGATGGATAGTCATGTCTTCTTCAGATCCTGAAAGCAGTTTGTTGTTTTTCAAGTCTAAGGAAAAATTGTATTTCCTTAAAAAGTCCAATCCGAGTATGCATGGATCTGTAATATCTGCCACATATGCCGTGTGATGGTAGGCGGCACTTCCAAATGTGATTTTCACGTTTAACTTCCCAGCTATGTCGATCTTATCACCAGACGCAGTCTGAAGGGTAACACAGGATGGCGTCCAAATAAGTTTATCTTTAAACTGTTCAGCTAAGTCTTTCCTAATGATGGTAACATTAGCTCCTGTGTCAATGATCATATCGCAAGGAACTCCATCGATATTCCCATTAATGGACATTCCATTACTGTTGCCACTCACTGTATAAATTTTAAGCGCTTTAAAACAAGGTTTTTCATTATCTGGCAACCTCCGTTCCTCGATATGGTCACTGATTTGTTTGTTTACTGCGTCGTTGCTGGGAAATGGTCTTATTTTCCGTACCTCGGGGTGTTTTTGCAGTTTTTCTCGTATGTGGCCTTCAACTCCGCAGTTCCAGCACTTTAGAACTAGTTTCTTTTCACTTCTGTTCCGTCTCAAGCCACTGACTTGTCTGGTAAAATCATCTGCTTTATATTCCGTACCCTGGGGCGTTCTGCAATTCCGTCTTAGGTGACCTTCACTACCACATCTCCAACACCTTGGAGCCACTTTCTTCTCGCTCCTACTTCGTATCAAAGCTTCGACTTGTCTGGCTAAATCATCTAAACGAGCCATCAGTTGATCCACTGGCTCATGGACTCGCACAGCTCTAACTGGGTAGCGATCTCTATTAGTTGCTTCCTGGGCTGCCTCGAACTTCATGGCGTACAACAGAGCGCTTTTCAAATCTTTTACATCCGCCATTCGCAGTGCTTTCTGTATTTCAGGGTCCCGGATGCCATCGATGAAATATTGCAGGGACAGGATTTCCCTTGTTTCTGTCGGGCACTCCGAAAAGGCGTGATGTGACAGCCTTTCAACATCCGTGGCGAGCTCCTGAAGCGTTTCGGTGCGCTTCTGTTGACGAGATTTTAATTGGAGCCTGCTGTAGTCTTTTAAACACTTCCCCCAAAGCGCAACTCCAAGGCGCCGGACAGAGCTTCGAAATCTAACCTTTTGTTTTCGGGAAGCGTCTGCAGGATATCCGCTGCGTCTGCTCTTAGAGAAGCGGCGAGATGACAGGCCTTAGCTTGGGAATCCCATCCATTCGCATCCGCCACGATAGAAAACTGGGTCTTATACACTTGCCAGGATGTCTTCCCATCATATGTGGATAGCTTCAGAGATGGACGAGCAGGCATCGGTAAGAATTTAAAATCATCACTCTTACTCCCAGCCGTCGCTACGAATTTCTTTAAAGTTTCCAGTTCTTTGGCAACCGCACAAACCCGGTCATCAATTTGTTGTTCGATTTGTTTCTGAACGGAACAAACTTTTTCTTCTATTTCTTCTTTAACAGAAGAAACATTTTCCTCAATTTGTCCCACTTTATTCTCAACCACATCTATTCTGCCTTCCATAGCATCGAATTTGGTTTCTATTATGGCAGGCAATTTCTCTTTTCATTTCGCATTGACTTTCTTTCTTCAATCTTGACTTGAACAGCTTTTATTTCTGCTTTAACAGATTCCTTAACAACTTTTATTTCGTCTTTAAAAGTTAAATGACCAGCTTGAATGGCCTTCATTTCTTTCTTAACGGATTCCCGGCCCAATTTCATCTGTTCCTGTGCTGCTTTCATTTCTTCCTTAACGGATTCCTGGCCCAATTTCATCTGTTCCTGTGACGCTTTCATTTCTTCCTTAACGGATTCCTGGCCCAATTTCATCTGTTCCTGTCCCGCTTTTATTTCTTCCTTAACGGAGTTGACAGCCACTTCCATCTTTTCTTGGAAAGCAGTAAATGCAGTCATCATTTGCCTGAATTGTTCTTCCATCGCTCTTGTTATTGGCATTCAAATCCCACTTCTGACACCAAAAATTGTTGCGTGCGTACGGGTTCGTTACGAAATGAATGCACAAGTCCGATGAAAAATGAACAAAAATTTATTATTATCACAAGAAAAATGCTTAAATTTTCTCAAATTATCATGCAGTATTACAATATCTCACAGTAGTTATCTTTTAACTACTCAAATATCCAATAGAACGTAATTCAAAACAGCAAAAACTAAAGAACGCTAATCCGCGAATTCGCTACAATCAACAACAGTAGTTTTCTAAACAACAACAAACTAAGCAACTACTACAAACTGAGATGTTTTCCTTTTCCTTCCTTTTATAAGATTTTAAAATCACGCGCTAGAATTTTCCAGTACTTTCTCGAAATCAAAAAGAGATATTTATTTAT